CTGTGCACGACAGCCTGCGCGTGTGTCTATTGTACTAGGTGGTGACTTCAATGACCATGCGGGCATCCAGCGAGATGGAGGCACCCCAGTAGATCCTGCCATGGATCCCGTGGGCCCGCTGGCGCCGCGCCAGGAGCACTTTGCAATGAAGCAAATTCGTGAGCTCCTGGGGAAATATGGGCTGTGTCTTCTAAACACGTTTGTAGGAGGCCACGACACATACTACGGACACCGAGGCAGCACGCGTATTGACTACATCGCGGCGCCGCGAAGCTGGCTTCGCTCGATCTCCCACTCACGTATCCTTGAACGGAAGGGTCGGAAGCTACAGATGGTGAATACCGCCCGACGGTGGGACCACTGGCCGCTGCAAGTGCAGGTGTGGTATATACTGGACTTCCCAACGGCTTCATCCAAAAAAGAACACAGATGGGATCTGGATAGGCTCACACAAGGATTGATGGTGGGAAAAGATCGGGGACTGTTTCTTCGGGAGGTGGAGCGTGCATGCATGAACGACCAGAGTACATGGATGCAGCACGAGCACAATGACTGTCCTGATCATGCGTGGGGGTCTCTGGTTAAGTGTGTGCAGGAGGTGGCTCATAAGTACTATGCACAGCGCACGCGTGATGACGTGACGGTACAGGAGGGGAGGGATCAACAACGAGAGCTACTGACTCGTCGGGCCAATCTGAAGGAACAAATGGGAAACACGGAGGGTCACGAGGAGGGTAGGACTACCGAGCTGGCCAGAGTGTGTATAGAACTGAATAATGTCACGCGTGACCTTCGGAGGCATGCGAGAGAGGCTCGTGCCCAACGTCTTGACTCCCTTGCCCAGCAAAGTAAGGAGGCCTGGAGGAAGAGGGACCTTGCCCTGATTGCGAGGCTGTCGCGTCGCATGGCGATGACGGCAGTAGGACCAGGAAAGAGGTTTCACAATGTGCCGATGATGATCCGCCCCACGTGCGAGATGTGGACGGAGTTCTTAGGTCGCCCTGGCAGGGAGGGAGGGCAGAGCTGCACTGTAATTGACATGCCACCGATCTCAGATGTTCCAGCTGACCCAGGACCTGGCCTTGACCTATATGACCCCGAGTGGCGCGATGCATGTGAGAGAGACATTGCGGCAGTCAGACGAGCTGTGTCAAGATGAAACTTCGGAAAAGCTGCCCGCCTTGGAGTATACCCCTTGAGGTCCTTCGCATGCTGGTTCATCCCAGTATGGTGTGTGCGCGAATGCGTCAGTATCAGCATGCCTTTAGCGCTACTCTGCCTGATATGCTTTGGTTCCACAGGCGTCTGTTTGGGGTCCTAAAAATGGTTCGTGGGATGGGGAAGCTACCGCGGGACTGGAGCCGTTCCTGGGCGTGCCCGATACCGAAACCCTCAGGCAGCATTGGTATGAAAGCCCTGCGTGTTGTGCACCGTATGTGTCACTTCAGCAAAGCATACACAAAAACGGTGACAGATAGGGGGGACTACTGTTACACTGACCGTGACTTATTGGACTGTCTACATGGGGGACTGAGATGCAGACGACGAGAGACTGCTCTTACTATCCAACTTGTGACGGGCTGGCGCTTAGCAGCACATGGAATTTCACATGCAACGGTGGTCTATGATCAAACGAATGCATTTGGCAGCATTAGGTTGGAAGCATTTGACGACACTGACATGATGCATGCTGCACCTGAGGATGTTTTCATAGGTACCATGACCAATCACAATAGCTGTATTACGATTGATGCACAAGATGGACCGTGTCATTTATTAGTCCATGAGGGGGTTCCCCAGGGACATCAGAGTGCACCCAGTAAATATATCAGGACGTTTGCCCGAACTGTGCGTGCCCCATGGCTGCATCTACGCAGCCAAGAACCGACAGCCCAAGATTTAGTATGCCAGCACCCGTGGGATACTGATGAATGCCCGATCGATGTGAGCACCACGGTCTCTCTCGACGATGTTGCACACAAGTTGATTGTTCGCACTGCGCAGGGATTAACAGCAAGTGTCCGAAGAGCGAGTGAGCAGTTCGACATGCAGTTGCACACAGTAGGAGGAGCTCAGAATCATGGGAAACAGGTTGTCGTGCCGCGTCTTGTGGGGCAGGGAGCACATGTTGAATCTCGTGAGCTGTCTGGTGGACTGTGCGTGCTTTCTGGTTCGGTTGCCACGACCACGACGTACGTGGGGGGACGCTTTGATCAGTTTTACCGTGTGGGCAAGCATAGGGAGGCTGTTATCCAGAGTATGAAGCTTGCTTGGTATTCGATGGGGCGTTTCTGGTTTACTGACAAGGTCACGAGGCATCTTCAGGTTCTGGTTTTCAGGGCGAGGGTCCAATCAGCTGGCCTGTCTGGGATGGAGGCATACTGTGTTTCAGAAAAGGACTGCGAACCGATTGATGCTCTGTTGGTTAAGTGGGGACGTACTTTGATGCATGGGGAGGGGACCTTAAAAACGCCACAGCCCGATGGGACCGTCAAGCATATGAGTATGCCTTCGCGTGCAGTTTGGAAAGCATTGAGAATGGTACCAACCTTTTTGGAACTCCGCATTCGCAGGCTCCAGTGGTGGCAATCGGTCGCGACGAATCCCCAGGATAATCGACAGTTGCTTGCGGCACTGTTTGGCCAGTTAGGTTTGAGGAACAACCGACGATCCTGGATCACCGACTTATGATGACAGAAGATGGCGACTACCGCGGTAATCCCTGGGCTAGCCAGGTGGTGGGCTAGCCAGGTGGTGGTGGAGGAGAGGAGCTTCTTCAGGAGTTGGGGGGCAAGGTGCTGAAGGTCTTCACTCGAGAATATGCCAGTCACTTTGAGCAGCTTGATTTCTCACAACTTCGGAAGGCCTTCTGGAGCACTGAACCCATATTAGAACCCTCAGAGCACGACCCTCCTGCCCCTCCTCCTCCAGCAGAAGAACCAGCAGTGTGGGTGTGTCGGGAACTCAATGAAGACGGGAGTGAGTGCGGATTGCAGTTCCACGAACAGCGAGGATGGTATGCTCATATGAGGTTCACGGAGGGAGGGACGCACGGACACAGAGCTATATGCCAAGTATTGACTGTTACAAATCAGTGCCCGTGGTGTATGACGACGTTTAGTAACCGTGCTGTCGCACGACAACATGTCAGGAACCTATGTTTGAAGCGGGTGTGTCACGCGGACCGACACCAATTCGTTCACAAAGTCGAGGAACCAACCAGCTATGTATGTCCAGCTTGTGGTGACGACTTCCCGAGCCTTTCGGCTCTGCAGGTGCATATACGGACTCACGTACAACTATCGGCTGAAGCATATATTACACTACCAGCCCCAGAGACTACCCATGGCGACCTGGGCCCTACCCCCGATCACGGCCGAGAAGGCCCAGGCAGCGATGGAGGTGGACGACAAGTCACGCACCTCCAAGAAGAGCTCATTCGGAGATGGCAAAGGCGGAGGCAAGGGCAAGGAGGGGACCAAGTTCAGGAGGGTGGCAGTCGGGGGGGACTCAGCGAACCAGGACGACGAGAGCGATGGCGAAACGGCGGTGGAGGTCATGAAAGCATCCCTGAATCATGCCCAGCGGATTCGAGGGCTCGAGGGCGCGCTCCTCTCGACCCACCTCATGCCCCAGGATCACAGTATCAATGCAGTAGCAGTAGCAGCAGGGCAGCAGTACAGACAGATGGTGGAGGGCAAGCCAGATCACGTACACGGTCCCCCGTCATTGGCAGTAGGGATAGCGGTGCTCGAGGCTCTGGCGACCAATGTCCAGTTGAACAGTGTGGGAGAGCTCAAACAGTGTATGGATTTCCTGAAAGACTTCGTGCAGCGGCTCAAACAAGAGCCTTTAGCAGTAGCATGCGAATACGTGAAATACTATCGCGTGAAGTCAGCCTACCAGCACGAAGGCCAACCGGCCCAAGTACGACACACGTATCTGATCAGTGCATGGGTCCAGATCAACGGAATGATGCAGCCAATGAATGCTATCCTCACCCGCTTGTACATCGCGATGGGCAGTGTACCGAAGCCAGGCCCCCCACCGAGGAACACAGGAGAGCGCCGCATTCAAGGGTCGCTGGAGAGGCTGCTCAGGGGCAAGAAGAAGTGAGTAGTAGTGCACAGAGGCCTAGGCCAAATATGAGTATAGCTGAGAGAACGAATGTTCGATTTACAGGTAAGTGGGCCCCACCAGACAGCTGCAACGCTCCGAGGAAGCGACGCAGGAGGGCGTCTGGATAGGGATGAGTTTCTTGTAGGCCAGGGCTGGCCTCCTTGTGTAATTCTTTATGCAATTAACTTGTTGTCCGCACCCCCCCCCTCGCTGCTCTCTGCGCTGCTGTCTCTCCCCTCTCTGTCGTCGTCTCCTCCCCCTCTGCCTCGCCTTCTTCTGGCTCCGTGGCCTCTCGCGCTCCTCTCGTGGGGTGGCCCCCCGCCTTTCCCTCTCCTTCGTCGTCCTGCTCCCTGGGGGGTGCGGGCGGGAGGGAGCATGAGGGAGCCGCGGATGGGTAGTGTCCGAGAGCGACCGTGCGACACGGACGCGATGGACCAGGCACCGCCCCTCCATCTCTCTCCTTTTTTCTTTCTGCCCTCAGTCTGATGACATGTTGTGGCTCATGGTGTCCCCGTAGTTGTGCCAGGGGGAGACTCCCAATGTTTTGACAACGCGGGATGCATAGTGCATCACTCGCGCACGCCGATCCCACGCTGTGCAAGGTAAGTGAGCATCTGGATCATATGGCGATAGACCGACCGACCTCCTCCCCCTCCTCCTCCCCCTCCTCCCCCTCCTCCTCCTCCCCCTCTCCCCCTCCTCCTCCCCCTCCCCCTCCTCCTCCTCCCCCTCTCCTCCCCCCGCCTCCTCCTCCTCCTCCTCCCTCCTCCTCCTCCCTCCTCCTCCTCCTCCTCCTCCTCCTCCTCCTCCTCCTCCTCCTGGGTGCTGGGCGGCTCCTCGCCCTCGCCCCCCCCACTCCCCCCCCCACCCCGACGGGCCGCCTGCTCGCGCGCCTCCAGCGCCCTCCTGCACAGCGGCTCGGCCTCCTTGTACTTGCCCGTGGCCTGGGCCACGGCGGGAGGGGGGGCGGGCGGGCGGAGGGAGGGAAACCCACGCAGACCCGCGCCTCGACGGAGGAGAGGGTCCGCGACCCCGGAGGGTGTGATCTGCGGCCGGCACCCCGATGGGGCACCCGGGGAGGCGGGCGGGGACGCCGACAGAGCTCTCCGCCGCGCCCCGGGGAGGCCCGACGAGGACAGTGTCGTGCCCTCGGGGCCCCCACGGCGCCAGTCGCCAACAACACCCTGGCGTAACCATACCCTGTGTAGTCGCCGAGAGAGGGGTCTGTTCCTAACACTCTCTCTGCTTCGTGGCACGGCTGGCCCTGCTGCTCCCACACCATTCCTCCCCTGAATACCACCACGACGCGTCAGAACATCATGCACCACACGTGTTCGAGTAGCTGATCTGCGCAAACTTCCCCAGAGCTTCGCTTGACAGCAGCACCGTTGGACAGCATGGCCGCAGCTGAAGCCGAAACGACCCAGGGGAGGGTGCTGTCCCATACATACATACATACATACATGCATACATACATACATATATACATACACACACATACATACATACATACATACATACATACATACATACATACATACATACATACATACATACATGCATGCATGCATAAATACATACATACATACAGACACACAGACAGACAGACAGACCGACAGACAGACAATTATACATACATACATACATACATACATACATACATACATACATACATACACGTACATACATACATACATACATGCATGCATGCATGCATGCATATACACATACATTCATTCATTCATACATACATACGTACGTACGTACGTACAGACAGACAGACAGACAGACGTACGTACGTACGTATGTGCATACATACATGCATAGCTAAATGCATACATACACACATACACTCATGCATGCAGACATACATACATACATACATGCATACATACATACATGCATACACACAGACGTACCTACATACATACATACATACATACATACATACATACATACATACATACATACATACGTGCGTACGTACACACACACATGCATGCATGCATGCATACATACATACAGACAGACATACATACATACGTGCGTACGTACATACACACACACATGCATGCATGCATACGTACGTACATACACGCATGCAGACATACATACAGACAGACCGACAAACAGACAGGAGTACACACACATACATACATACATACATACATACATACATACAAGCAAACATGCATGCATGCATGCATGCATGCATGCATGCACATATACATACATGCATGCATACCTGCGTCCATACATATATACATACATACATGCATACATACATGCACACGTACGTACATACACACATGCATACATAAATACATACATACGTACATAGAGACAGACAGGCAGACAGACAGACAGACACACTCACATACATACATACATACATACATGCATGCATGCATACATACCATACATACATACACACATACACACATACATACAAACATACATACATACACACATACATCCATACATACATACACACATACATATACACATGCCTACAAACATACATACATACATACATATATACATACATACATACATACATACATACATACATACATACATACATACATACATACATGCATGCATGCATACATACATACATACGTACATGTGAGCGATCCAAGAGCTCCTGGACCGCCCGAGAGCGCTCCACGAGCGCCCCGGATAGCCTCCAGACCGCCCAAGAGGCCTCGAGGACGTCCCGACAGGGGCTCAAGAGCGCTCCGAGGCGCCCCAAGATGGCCTCGAGAAGACCCAAGGGGCCTCCAAGAGGGCCCCAGGAGGCCAACATCGCCCCAGCCCCTTCGGAACACGCATCTTTAATCATATTCGCTTTTTCCGATCTTACAAGACTGCACAAGAGGCGCCAGAGGGGGCCCAAAGACAGCTCCAGAGGGCCCCAAGAGAACCCAAGAGGGCCCCAAGAGGGTCCAAGGAACGCCCAATACAGCCTAAGTGAGCCCCAAGAAAGCCCCAAGGGAACCCCAAAAAGGCCCCAAGAGGGTCGTATCCTCCTCTCGCCATCTTCCCCTCTCCCTCCCTCCTTGCTTGTTTGTTTCCTCTCTCTCTCTTGTTTTCTCTCTCTCTCTCTCTCTCTCGCTATATCTCTCCCTCATGCTCCTGGCGTTCTCTCTCTCCTTCTCTCTCTCTCTCTCTCTCTTTCTCTCGCTCTCTCTCCCTCTCTCTCTTTCTCTCTCTCTCTCTCTCTCTCTCTCTAGATACGTGTGGAGTGCTGTACGCACCTGTTTATACACTGTATAAGTACACATGTCCACTCCGTATCCATCCCTGTCCCTCTCTTTGGTCTGTATGTTTGAATACGCCAGCGTGGCATGGGGGGTCCTGGGACCCCACGAGCGCCCTCCTCGTGGCCTCCATAGTGGCCCCGTGGGCGCAAAGAAAGCAACAACACTTGGGACCGTAGACTACCGTTGTGGATGCCATGTCAATGGACACTCTAACAATCCCATCATCGAATTAAATATGTGTTTAAACTGTGTAAAAACATGTTCTGAAAATGGTTCAAACATGTTTTTACATATTTAAACATGCTTGAAACATTTTTAGACATCTGGAAAGTGTTTGGCAGCATACTTCCTCTCCATTAGTCGACCTCCACAACTCTACCGAACCGATCCATAACACCCCGAGAGCGCCGAAGATGCTTTGTGAACGGCCCCCGAAGGCTTCAGGCTTGCGCCCGAGGCCCCAGACGAGTGCCCTGGGAGCCACAAATCGTTGATTTCCGCAGGGTTTTTCAATATTTGTAGGGTCCTCCACCCCTCGAGTTTCAAACAATCGCAGACGGCCCGAGATACCCACTAGACCGCCCCAAGGCGGACCGAGAGGCCCCAGGAGAGCCCCAGGACGGCCCAACAGGGCCCAGGGGCGCCCAACACTGCCCAGGAGGGCTAAAAGACGGCCCCAAGAAGGGCTCGAGAGGGGGGGAACACGAGCCGAAAATTCAAGTCTTCGCCCCAGGAGGCCCCCAGGAGGCCCCAAATGGGCCCCGAGAGACTCCCACGGGGTCTGAAGAGGCCCCTGCCCCCACGATGCCCCCAAAGGCCCCAAAACAGCCCCCAGGAGGCCCAACTATGGCAGCCAAGAGGCCCCCGCGATGCCCCAAAAAGAGCCAAGAGCCATCCAAGACCCCCCAAGAGAACTCCTCCGTAACCATTTTGGCTCAAGTGCTTCGGTCCAAGCAGTGGAACTTGCCATACGTCTGATTTTTTACGCTCGCGCTAAGCACGTCAGCTAACACGTCGCTAGAACCTCAGACAGCGTCAGATGGCCTCACGACGCTCAAAGAGGGGGGGTCTCCAGACGGCCCAATGCTCCCAAAAGGCGCCCAAGAGGCCCCAAGAAGCCCCAGGATGTCATGCCCAAGACGGCCCAAAGAGGGCCCCAGGAAGCTCTCTAGGAGACCACCGACAAGCCAAAAACATTTGTACACCCACAGGGACTCAGTGATTTGTACCTTGTTGCCTGTTCGCCTCCGATGGTCTGCTGAAGCCCCCAGATCGCCCCAAAGAGGCCCCACGACGCCCCCACGAAGCGCGCAAGAGGCCCCACGAAGCGCCAACACGCCCTCAACGGGGACCCGAAACCGCTCTTCGGTGAGATGCTGGACATCCATCAAGCCGGCCCAAGAGAGCCTCCAATCGCACCCAGGCATCTGCGACAAACCTCCGGCACTGCCCTCCTGGGCTTCCAAGAACGCCCCCGAAGGGCTTCAAGATGCCTCGGGAAGCTTCCGACACAGGCAAGAGAGCTCGAAGACAGCCCACGAGAGCCTCCAGACGGCCCAGGAAACCCGCACCAGCCCCCAAACGAGCGCCAAGAGGCCTCCCAGAGGCCCCCAAGACCGCTGACGAGAGCAATGATTTGTGCCAGTCCGCTTTTTTACCTCCGATACCCTTCAGAGGCTGACGCATGACCCCCACGAGAACGCCAAGATGCCCTCCAAAGTCGCCCCAAGCAGCCCCAAGAGGCCACAATAGGCTCCCATGACGCCCGAAGAGGCACCAAAAATGCCTCCAAGAGCTTCCGAAAGCCTCCAGGAGGCACCGAAGAAGGCCTCGGAAAGATTGACAGATGTCGGCGTTTTCGCTTTTCGGAGCTCCCGACGGCTCACGACACCCACAGACGGCCCCCAAACGGCCCAAGTGACCCCCAAGAGAGCCCCTAAGACGGCCCAGAAGGAACCCCCCCACGGCCCAAGATGGGACGCACAGAGACATACTAATACTATATGTCTTCCTTGGAGGTGCGCGTCCAAGTCGAACATCTAGTATACCCATCTTGTAGTGTATCGTTTCCCGAGCGGCGCGGCCAGAAAGTGCCCGCCACGACGCATGTACTGCAAGATTTCTCGGTGCGCGCGCTGCCCCTGTTTGGGGGGGGGGGGGGGGGGGGGGGGGCAACGCACATATAATATAAGTATGTTGGGGTGACGCCGACAAGAGGCCCCGCGACAGGGCCCAAGACGCCCCCAGGCGAGCCCAAGGAGCGGCAGCACAGACGCCGACCCCACCAGCCGAGCTCCAAGAGGATCCCACGAGGCCCCCAACGGGGGCCACAGCTGCCCCTCCAGAGGGCCCCAAGACGGCCTCCAAGGGGCCCTTGACGGCCCAAGAGGCACCCCAAAAGAGCTCCACAATTCTGCTAATTCTCCCCTCTCTTCCTCTCGCGGCATTGCGCCTCCGCTGCCTTCTCATCATCGCCATTTGCTGTAACGAATTGGCGCGTAGATTTGCCGCGCGCGAGCTGTAAGGGCAGAGCGGCACGCACCCGCAAATCGCAGGGGGCACCATTCCCGCTCGCACTGCAGACATTGCCTGCTGCACGTTGTGTCTCCGTGCTGCGAGGCGCATAGCCTTGCATAAGCGTGAGGTGACAATGGGATACACCCGCATATAGCAGGGAG